TATTTATAATTTAATATAATTTAATAAATTTAATAATAAAATATAATTTTTATTAGTTGACCAGATACTTTTAATAGAGTAGTGTAATTATCAAACATGTATAAATATCACTGTATTTTTATTAAGTCTCGATACCTTACAAGTAAAGAACTTACTATTTATTATATTATTAATAAATGTATAATTAATCAAGTTATAACTTATCCTTCATAACCCTTTAACCTGTATATATATTATTATTATTATTAACTTTGTGTGGTATTATATTGATTCATTGTATTGACTTAATGTGTAATTACTGAAACATAATCTCTGAAATATTCAGAAGTTACTTATGTGTAATTGAGAATAATTATGAATTTTATTTAAATTACAAATTAAACGTAATAACATCTAAATTATAGAAGAAATAAATACGAATTTATTGATATTAAAGGGTCAAGTCATCTTTATTGATATAGATTTAAAGAATTATAAATGAGCAAAGATAAGTTTTAAGAGATAAAATATTATTGATTAATTTATTAAAGATTTGTAATGACTCTACCTTTTTTATCAAAGTAAAAATACAGGATATTTATATAAAATACATCAATATGAAATAAATATTTAATAAAGTAAAGAAATATAATAAGTAAAGAAATTATAGAAATTTAAGAAATTATATATTATTAAGAAATTACAGAAATGATAGAAAATTAAGAATTGTGATTATTAAGGTTACTATTTGTCAACTATGTTTAGTGTAATATCATACATTATAGTAAGACTATTACTAATAACTTATTAGAATTGATCATAAAACCATTTTTGATAAAAAAATTTTTTTTAGATCAAAGAAATCAATTCTTCGAAAAACTTAATACTGAATTAAATTATTTTACAAATAATTTTAAGAACATAATTAAAACAATTTTTTTCACTAAAAATTTATGTTATTCATATGCAATATACAAAGATTATATAATAATGCTGTAATATAATTAATATATGTTACCAACTAAGGAGTAAAAATGTTGTTATACAGCTAAATTTATATGTGAATATATGCAAAATCATTCAATTGATTTTGTAAATATTAATATTTTACAAAGGTATTGATATCTTTAAATATTATTTTTACTTAAAAGAAATATTATTTCTATTAATTATGAATTTGGAATCTTTGATTAAAAAATTTTATTTGATTAACTTTTTCAGAATTATATAATAATTTTAATATCAAATTACTAAGTATTAAAACAAATTTATTATTTTTTAAAAGTTTTGTTAAAAATTTAAACATAATAGATAAAAATAATGAATTAAATTCAATAAGATAAGATACTACTAATTTTCACAAAGATAAACATAATTGCAAATATAGATTTTGTATAATTGTGATCTTTGAAAACCTAGAAAGCGAAGATTTAATTTTGTGTAAATATGGCATTATAATAGAAGTAAAATGTGAATCTATTCTGCACTTTTAGAGCATTTTAATTTAAAGGTTTTAAAAAATAGATTTTTTATAGTGTATTATTTGAAGAAATCATTTCATAATGAAATCTAAATTTTTTGTTATTAAATAAAATATTAGTATTTTTTAAAATTATATAATTAAAATTTTAACTAAGTAAAATCTTAGGCTAAATTTACTATAAATTAAAATTTTATCTGTTGATTATAAATCAAAAATAAAATTTTTATTATTTGCTAATATTTTTTAAAAATATTTAAATAAATTTTATTTATAGCTAATTTCATAATTCATGAACCATTAATAAATTGCAACTGAATGCGACTGAAAATTTTTTATAATAAAATTACTATAAAATATTGCGTCTGAATGTGACTAAAAAATTATTAATAGTCTACACAAGTAAAACGTTGTCCAACCAGTAGTCATAACGATCAAATATTATTTTTTGATCAGACTATCATCATACAAAATAAAGTGCAATAGGTGTTTATTACAACTCGGGTATAAATCAGAAATTTACTGATTGCTGTTTATCAAAAATTCCGATTTGTGTTAAATGTTATCTATTTATCATTATCAGTTCAGACTAAATTTAATTTTGAAAATCGTGATCTATTAGGTAATTATAATTTTATTACGAAAAAAACTTAAGACTTTCTAATTTTGTCATTAACAACAGAGTGGTGTAATTATATTAATATGTAATAAATTTATATGCCTGATTAAGTAGAATTGATGAGCAAAAATATCAATTTTTGATTATTGTATACTGCGGTTCGCGAATCATGTTAGCTGAAATTTTGATTGTGGTAAATTGCGGATCATATTAGCTAAATTTTTAACTATTTTGATGATATTAATATGAAGACAATATTGTGATATAATTTAAATTTCTCCAACAATGAAAATTTTCTAAATATTCATTAAAATTGGTATTATAAACTTTCATATCTATTAGAAAATGGAGTAATTTGCTATCCAATCATGATGATCTTAATTATATGAACTGAATCGAAAAATGAAAAGGAAAAGCTGTTAGTAAACTTTTTGCTATTGGTTGATATGAAGTAATATACCCAAATCCATTTTTTTAGGTAATACAATTCTGAAGAAGCTTGATGCCCGACCTGAATATTACGGCAACTACATATGAAAGTGTCTCCCTATAGGAATAATAGCTATATATGGAATTGGTTTTCTTTTGCCAATTTCAAATCTGCAAGGTATAAATCGACAAAATATATTGTGTATTGGTATAATACAGTCTCTGCTGATATCATAAAATCTGTTTAGTCAGATTTCCATATTGCAACTTTTAATATCATTGATTTGGCAGTAAAATCTCGTTTGGTGATCTAGAGTTGGCATAAACCATCTTATATAAGCCAATTGATGTGTTTGCTTCCCTCCTGGTAGTTTAATTTTATGTTCAAAAAAGTATTGAATTTGACCAGGAAATACATCAACCAAATCATTTTCTTGTATGAATTTGGCAAAGATGAATGAATTCTTTAGGTATCAGGACGTATTTGACGATCCAAATATTTCAGCCCCAATTCTAATACATCCAAATTGATTAATTTGAGGCTGGATGACGATTCAGTGGTCAGAACGTACTGCGTTTCTTTGAACTGATTCTGAAATAGTTAAAAAATCCAAATCATATGCGATATTATAATAATCTACCAGAATCTTGTATATTTCATCTGGTAAACTAACGTTAATTTTTTTTGGAGCCAGCATCTCTCCAGGGAAAGGCTCAGAACTGGTAATTGTATCTTCAATTTCGAGATGAAAGATCTGCCTAAATCGGCAAAGCTCAGCATACTCAAAATTATCATAAATTGCTAAGCTTCCCAAAGGTATCCAGAGTTGTATCAATTTCAAACTTTCAACAAGCTTCATATTATCTGATTGAGCAGATAGAAGGCCATCAAGTCGCCAATGCTGCATAATGATTCTCAGTAGTTCTGGCTCAATTTTGTGATGACTGTTTGGGAAGAATCCTTTGGAGAGTATTTTTTTTAACAAAAATTATTCTAAATATACTTAAACCAGGTTCGATAAAAATAGGCATATGACTTACCCAAGAAACCATTCATACTTTCGAATGAGTAGCACCAGAAGGAATATAGGTGTCTATAGTCTTGACAACATTTGACGATATGAAGAGATAAGTGAATGTTAGAGGTATTTACCTCTGGACCATAATTCTCTTCAACTAGTTTAGCAACTTGTAGTAATCAGAACTGAGCTTCATCCAATGTATTTTTATTAATAATGCGTGCTATTAATAAGAAGCAACCCTTACAAAATTAGACAAAATTCTTCGATTTTCTTCATCCAAAAGATCCCACATCAATGGAGTTGTATACACCATGATTAAAGATTTCTATTGATCAGCCGTAAAACCAGAAAATCCTTTACCAGTTGCTATCTTGAATGGGATTCTTCTAAGATCAGCCAATACCTTGACATTTTTGCTTGTTTCTCCATCAACTCAAGATCAGATTTGAAAATTTTGTTTTCTATCATCTCCTGTTTGTTGTTTCTTCCAAATGAGAGCATTACGACGATATTTTATTGGATCTTTTGCTTTAAACCAATCAACCATGTTATTGAACCCTCTGAAATTTAGCTTATGGCCATTTTCTCTACTTGCTCTTTTGTGACACTGATGACATCTGACTAATGCTGATGCGTGGCCACATAACTTTCTTGAGGCCAGAATATCATTACTACAACAAATTACAGCTATTCTGATATTTCTATTAATGGGATAATTATTGGTAACCAGTAAGTAAATTCCATTCAAAAATTCCAGTAATTTATTTACTATTGGTGCGAGAAAATGGTTAATCTTATGCAACTTTACTTCTTTTGGTCCTGGTAAAAGACTGAGAGTCAACATATTCCCCTTTTTAAATTGAACATCCTGTGGAAGATTACAAATACTGCCATATATCACGCCACTGCTATAAGAAGCTGAATCGAAGGGTTGAAACCAATCCAAGTTTATCATAATGCCTAAATGCGAATCAGTAGTTTTAGATGTAAAAAATCGAGATTGTTCAAAATTATCTGAATAATCAAGATGTGATGAATAAGTCTTCCAGATTTTGCCATCATAAATATTTGTAATAAAATCAGATTCAGTATCCCAGATGACCTATTTATTCAAAAGTGATTCAAACCCTGGTCTTTGATACATAAATAATATTTGATTCTTTAAAGATGTTAATGGATATACCATCATTGGTCGCCAGATATATCTATTATTCACCAGAACCCTCATCAGCAGTTCTTATCTACAAGATTTATGTTGACTTTTTATCGGATGATTTGGGAATTCTATATGGGTATATTTAAATCCTGAATTCGCATTATCATCTGAATTTGCTAGAATTATTACCGTAATATCATATAACTTGTTACAATCAGGACAAGTAGCAAAAGTTTTTGATTTTTTCCTGATACCTAGTAATTTCCTAGCCATATAGGCAGTTGAAGGGAATTCTTCAAATCTATGTGAATCAACATCTTTTAAAATGAGGCTAAAGAAACCAATTAACAAGTTGATCGCAACATCAGGAAGTCTAAACCTTTCTTGATATTTAAATATCCAGATAAGGATTGATGAATTGCTTACATCTATATTTATAATAAGATCCTCCTGATTAGAATCGTAATTAATATTAGCACCAGAAGTCGCAAATAACTCAATCTGATTCTCATCATTGTTAGAGAGTGGTTTATCATCATCTAATGCTAGTTCATCATCAACTGACCAAGAATCTTCTTTATCACCAAATTCATCAACTTGTTGCTCAGTTTCTTCATTCGAAATGATAATGGTATTATCAACATTATGAAACTGATCATACCTTTGTCATCTTTTTTAGCAGGAACTTGCTTCGTAATAAAAAATTCTTCATCAAATTGTTCTTGATTACTATCAATCATCGCATTATCTTCATAAAGATTTTGAGAAGAACCAACAGCGATGGATTAAACTTCAGCCAAAAAACAAATCTTTGAACTATAAGTATATACTGGTATTAGATTAGCTTTTCTTTCTTATTCTTTCTTCGTTTTAGAGATAGAAACTCGAAGCCGTTTATCTTCTAATTCATGTTTTTTCTTATTCTTATTTCAACCAGTTTACCATTGCATCTTATACAATTACATTACTCTTTTGGTTGAACTTTTGTAGATTTTGTTACTGGTGCTGCTAATGCTATTGATGTTTCTTTATTTGATTCTTTTTTTATTGCTCGTTTAAACATTTTTAAAAATATAAAGAGATCAAAAAGAAATTAGCAAAACAGATGCTAAACGCATATATAATATATATATAATTTTACTTATAGGAAATCAATTGTAAGTAAAAAAGCTTAAACTTTATTCTGCTGATATTTAACTTCTTATTATATTTTACGTATACTAAAGCTTATCAATTTAATAGATATAAACAAACTTTTGAAATAACTTTACAAGAAACTTTCTTTTTCTTTATACTCAAATACACACAAATAATTCTTTAGTGACTCATGACTCATCACTCTGCTAAAAGTAAATTGTTTTCTCATTCAAGACAAAGCAAAGACAGTTCTCAGTCAAGAAGCAAAAGAGATATGAATAGAAACAGAAGAAGTACCTCTAAGGGAAGTACAAAACATATCAAACGTAATAGGTAATATAATATAATAACAATAATATTTGCTTGCTTCGCTCGTTGCATATAACTTTTCATAATCATCAGCATAGGTCTCTATCATACAGTCAATCTGATTCTTCAGAATCTAATAGAGAATCTTACGAGAGGCCACAGAATCACAAAAATAATAATAATAAAGCAGAGGAAAAGAAAGAAGGCAAGCTTTAATTTTATTATCTTTAATTATCTATATATTGTTTATATTACCATCTATATGTATATCCATTTATAATTTTCAGGTCTGATTGCTTTGCTTTTACAAGAAGGCAAAATTTGTAATCTGCTCAAGGAATTAGTTAAAAGTAAAACGAAGAAACCAAAATAAATATTTTTCTTGTAAACACAAATGTAAATCAAGATGATAATGACTTACAAATCCCATTAGAACGACATTCAGACAATTATTCTGATGTTGAAGATTCTAATATTGAAGATTTTAATGTTGAATCGTTTGATTTGAATACAAGCAGTAGCTTCTACAGAAGATAAAACCGCCCACAATCAGTTTCCAAAATAAGAATTAAAAGAAGATCTTCAAGACCTGATTCAAACTCTTCTAATCTTGATCGTGATGAAAGTATTATAATGCCTCAGTATTTATATTCAATGGACTTATCTGATGATCTTTGAGAAGCCTTGAGGGTAAGTAATTTTTTATTTATTTATATATATACTGTATATACTAATGTTATGACTTTTATGTTCATCGTCAAGTTTTTTGCATAATCAAAAGATTACCTTCTAAAAGTCGATTAAAATTGGATGAAACGTTTAATACTCTACATTGTCCCGTAAATGATATAATAGTCCAAGCTGTTATGGAAGCTTTGGAATCAGATATGTTTCCTGTCACAGATGCTATTGTATATGATATGATTCACATTCGACATAAGCACCAACGTGAAGAGTACTTAAAAAAATAACGATCGTTGGCCTTTTAAGACAAATAGACCAGACAGAAACATTTAATTAGCTGAAGGAACAATATAAGCAATAAGCAAATTCTATTCGTTTATTTTTATTCTTTATTAATTTATTATATTCAATCATATTCAATAATTACAGAAACGAAAAAATTGGGCTAATACAATCGAGCGCTTGGAAGCCATCAAAGATCTATTAATTCGAATGTTCAAGAATAGAGAACTTCTATTAATCAAGAATGATTCCTCATACTACTCACCCGAAGTATCAAAACTGATCAGGATAATCCTTCTAGCAAAAGAAAGATTGTTGTGAAGGATCTGAAATGGCAACAGTAACATCAATAAATTTCATTTGATTGAACTTTTAATTATTATTACACAAACTAATTTTTTCCTAATTTTTGTTCGTAGTTACGATAATTCTTGCGCAATTATGTTGATTGCATATTTTTTGAATCATCTAAAGTTTCGAAAAAAAGAATTTGTGTTTATGATGAAATCAATGCTTATGACGAAGAGTTTACAGCACTATTCCAGGCTCCAAAATGGACCATTGATGGCTATAAAGGTTCTTTAAAGGTAACTATCGAAAGGGCTTGTAGCAAGCGATCATCTCATACGTATCATTAATAATTGAAAATATCTGATCCCAAATTCACAACTAATACCACTGAGATTATCAAGAAGAGGAAATAACAGGTTGCAATTTGAGAATAAAACCTAGAAAATTGAATCTACTACAGAATCAATTAGCAAACAATCAAATATTGGGAAAAAATATTATTAAAAATATAACTGATTTTAGTAATAGACATTTCACTACACGTTAACATTTTATTACAGAATAGTGAGTAACATTTAGTAATAATTTCGCAACTAATAATTGAAAATTTATTTTATAATAATTTGATTAATATTACATTTAAATTAAATATGTGAAATATATGCAAATCAACCTAAATCAGGAGCAATTTATGTAAAATTTGCTTAAAGACTTTAAATAGTAAGGTTACTGATATGATACTATAAGATTAATCTGATATTTCGGATGAAGTTTAAATTAAAGATTAAAACCAATTGGGAGATTTCTGATTTAACTTTATTTTTAATCCGCTACTATGAATTAGTTCCAATAGTCCTTCTATTGATATCCAATATATTCCTGATTTTTAGCATTCTGATTGGGTTTGGTCGTATACCGATTGCCGCTATTAATTGATCACAATCGGCATTTTTAAACATGATTCAATATTCTCTAATCAGCACCCTACCAATGTCCAATAAAAAAGGCTATTGGTATTCGATTAAATGTCAATTTGTTATCATTAGCATCATTAGACTAGTGTAGCTTAATAAATAATAATTAATTTTTATAAAAGTATAAAAATAAAATAAACTACAATGATAATATGATGTGATATATAGATAAAAATATATTAGCTTAATAATTTTTTATTTTTTTCTTTTGCTCATTTTAAATTTTTAAAATCTCTAATAATTATACAAATAAATAAGAAAAAATATAAGTAAATTTAATCTTATAAAATGGATTTTGGGCTGTTCTATCATATTTAATATTTTATTAATCAGTTTTGTCTAACAACTGACTATATACATGATAAATATACTGTTTAATGAATAACGTATAAATTAACAGTCAATAAACATATATTATGGACTTTTACATTAATTTTAAGTCAAAATTTTAACAGTTACCTTATGATTTTGACTAAAAACAGTCACTGGACTGTTTGGAAAGTTAGTGATGGTGTTCTATATATGATACCATATAAAAATTATTGTCAAAGATTTTTTGTAATCCCAGATTTTATTATATAATAAATGATCAATTAAAATTAATTAACAATTAATTATATTATAGCATTAGCATTAAAATATTTTAATTTATTAATATGATATTAAAATATTTTGGTTATCAACATAACAAATTATTAAATGATTTGAAGCGAT